CGAGTTGATTTGGTGGCTGCTGGTTAGGATAGGATATTCTGTAGAGGGAGGGCTCGTGTGTTTTATTGTCTTTTCAGTGTTTGTTCTGTAGTTTGATTTCTTTGTTTTGTGTTTGTGTTTTTTGGTATGGGCTTTCTATAATTCGGTCGGCTCATTGCCGTGTGCTATTTTGTTTCCTGTGTTTTGGGTTTGGGTCGTTTGGCCCCTGTGAACCCGAGTGTCAAATTGATTCTCCTGTTGGGAGCAGACACTCGGGTAGTATCCTGTTGGGATCCCTGTAGTTTTCGTTGTTGTTTGTGGTGTTAGGAGTCTAGTGAGTCTTGGTTTTGGGTTTCTAGCGTTGCTAGAGTCGGGATTCTAGGCGGTCGTCAGACCTGTCCTCCCATTTTATTCAGCTTTTAGCTGCTCTTTCTTCTCTCGTTGGGAGCCTTGTAGTTTTATTTGCACTTTTGTGCGTTTTGAGTTATAATAGTACTCCTATCGTTTCGACCAAAAAAAAAAAAAATTTCACACTTGAATTAGAAGGTGTATCAAATCAAAGAGTTAGGTTCTGAAAATTTTACATAAATTTCACATCCCAGTTCTAAGTAAGATCACCCAGTTTCAGTTTCAAACTCCTTATGCATAATTTTATAAAATTCAAACAAGGTTTTCAACAAAAACGGGTTTAAATTTAAAGCACATGATAATGGATGATTCAGGCTATGAAATTTTTATATAAAATACTACATCATGTAAACAGTAACATATAAATTTATCAGCCTCCAACACTCAGTATATCAATTTATAAAATTAAAACAACATTCAGCCAAATATCGCAATTATATCAAAACGAATTGCAACTAAACTCCAAAAATTCTAAACTTTTTACAGCATATTAAACATCACATAATCAGCACCTCCACAAATATTTAGAATTTTTCAGCTTCAGAACAATTTACCATAATTAAAATAAATTCGGGCAGAATCACAAAATAATTTGTTAACCCTATCAAACCTAGTTCAAAAATTCTAAACATTTTACAACACATATAATCTTGCCTAAAACATAACATACTCGAAAATTGGCCAGAAAAGAACACTACAAAATTACTTATGCATTTTACAAGAAACTGAACAGAAAACAATTTAATTTTTAAAAATATCTAAACACCTTTAAAAATCACGAAAATTGTACGGCAGCTACATATTCATAAAAAACAGCTGCTCCTAAAATTTCAAGGATATTGGACAAGTATTCGATTTATAGTGAATTTTTCATTCGAAACAGCCAATAAGAACTTCGAAAAATCATAACGGCAATTATACACCTCCAATCGACACAAGGTCAGCGCCCTTGTGTTCGAAATAATCCTAAGTTCCTAAATCCACAGCAACTAATCACGCACGACCAGTTCTCGCTCGATTCGCACGAATCGACGAGTTACATATCAAAATTACGACAATATAATATAATGAACGATAATATCACATAAAATCATATCGCTTCTCAATTCCATATAACATGATAACAGCACCTAAACACATAAATCGCGAACAACACGACACATAATCGCCGAATAAAAAGACGAAGAGTCGAGACTCGATACCGTTCTCGGGAATCGGGCGAGAAGGGTTCGAACGGGCTCGACGGCAAGCGTCGTCTCGGGAGGAAGGAAGTGCTGCAGCGGCTGAGAAGGGATGGGTCGCTGCTGTTAGGTCGCCGGACGTCGCTGCTCGAAGGAAAACGAACTCGCCGGAGGTGCTTGCGGTCACGGAGGAGACGAGTCGCAGGAGTTGCAGGCTTCGCCGGAAGTTGGCTGGCGTGCTGCTCGTCGGAAAAGGAGCTCATCACGGCGTGGCAGAGGAGGTCTCGTCGTCGAAATCTTGTGGGCTGATCAACCTCGCCAGAAAAGATCGCTGGCCGAGGGAGGTCGTTTCGTGGGCTCGCTGTGCAGCGGTTCAGAGCAGCTGCGCCTTGCTTCTCGCCGGCGGTCTGCTCGGAGTGGAGGGATGAGGCAACGATGACGATGAGGACTGAACGTGAAGGCTTCCCGTCAGGCTCGGTGACGCGACGATGATCGAACGCGAAAGGGTGATCGGAATTGACTGAGCGAGATGATCGGACGATGGTGAAGGGGCGATGATGATGGGGGAAGGACGATGAATGATCGAACGAGGGAAAAAGGAACGCAAATCTCAGATTTGCGAAGGAGAAGAAAAGCTGCGATAGGTTTTGTCTGTTGAGAAAAACGAGTAGAGAGGAAACTCATATAAATCGCTAGGTTAAGAAAATTAGTTTGGATCCGCAAGAAAATAATATCACGACGCACAAGGACAAGAAATCTCTTAGGCTGGGCCGGGTGGCGGGTTTAAATGGGCCGGGGCGCCGGTTCGCTAATTCATGCGGCTCGGGTTCCAAGCTCTTGGGCCGAAGGTTCGGTTAAGAGCGTACGGTTCTCTCGGGCTCGATTTCTCTGTTGATTTAGCCAATATAGAATGGCTCGGTTCGCTCGAATATTCTCGGGCCCAACTTCGATTCAAACGCACGATAATATAAATCGAACAACAAATATATTTTACATATATATATATATATATTAATACACATTATTCACATTTAATAATTTAATTAAAATCAATTAGACAATTAGACAATTAGCATTTAATCACATTTTGGCAATAAATAATATGGCATTCAAGAAAAATATATATAAATATTATCACAAAATAATAATAACAATAATAATAACAATAAAATAATAAAAATATTCTCAAATAATCTACAAATAAATGGGGCATCACACAAACAGAAAAACACAATTCATGAAGTGCGAAACAATTATGCTGACAAACTGAAGATAATAAAAAAAATGCGAAATAGTTATGTGATAATTGAGACAAACATGCAAACATAAGAGATAGTGTGAAACATTTATACGATAAACTATGCGACAGACAGGTGAAGACAATTGATGCGAAAGGCTATGTGACAGACAGACGAAGATAATTGATAAAGTGCGCAAACATTATGTGAAAAGCTATGCGATAAAGAGGCGAAGATAATTGATAAACTGCGAAATAGTTATGCGAAAAGATATGCAAGAGAAAAGCAAAGATAATTGATAAAGTGCGAAATTGTTATGCGATAAACTATGCGACAATCAGGCGAAAATAGTTCATGTAAAAAGTTATGCGATAAACAGACGAAGATAATTGATAAAGTGAAAAATAGTTATGCCATAACATGCGACAAACATGCATGCGTAATTGATAAAATGCGAAACAATTATGCGATAAGCTATGTGATATGCAATAAACATGCGAACATAATTGATAAAATGCGAAACAATTATGCGCTAAGTTATGCGACAGACAGACAAATAATATTGATAAAGTTCAAAATAGTTATGTGATAAACTATGCAACACACAGACGAACAAAATTTATAAGTGCAAAATAATTATGCGATAAACTATGCATTAGACAGACAAATATAATTGATTCAAAAAGCTATGTGACAGACATACGAAAATTGATAAAGTGAGAAATAGTTATGCAATAAATTGTGCGACAAACATACGAACATAGTTGATAATGTGCGAAACAATAATCCGTTACACTATGCAACAGACGGGGGAAAAGAAATGATATACATATGCTCGTTTATTGTCTTACGGGTTAAGAAAACGCATCAATTACCGAGGACTAGATTATTTACTAAGTATAACATAATCTTATCTTCCGTAGGTGTTGTAGCAAATTATGTTATTTTATCGAGTTTCGAATCGAATGATTTTTTTTCCGAGTCGATCTCTCGAGGAAGGTTAGCCGGATTGTATTGCACGTGTATTCAATCACAAAAAGGAAAACAAATCCTAAACACTCTAATTCAGAAGTTTGGTTTTATTTCAATTATCAACTAAGAAATCTCAAACAATGAAAATTCCAATCTCAACCCAAAAAACAAGAATCAAGCAATGATAAAGAAGCTAGGGAGTCGGAGATAATTGTTTTGGTCTAAAACGCAATTAACGAGCAATTGATCACTCAGTTAAAGGACTCGAATAACCTACACGTTCAGAGATTCATCCTCAATAACTTTTTGTAACAAGAGAATAAATATGAACGTCAAATTAACAAATCGTTTAACACATAGGTAATACAGTTACGAACAAACCTATTTCATGTGAGCCTAGATCAATCAACTCATCCCCTTTCGGTTCTAAGAGTTTATTAAATAAGACTAGAAGGTGATTAACCGACTAATCTTTATGAATTAACAACACCACACGAGAACGAATCATATTCAATTGTAAACCAATTGTCAATTGAAGTATCACCATTCAACAATAATCAACTCACATGAATTGAACAATCAACAAGCACGACAATCACATTTGAGATTGCTGGGGGAGGTTGTGCTGAGCCGTGGGCTGAGCGACTTCCCCTCGGTGGATCTCGTTAGGAGGTGGTTCGGGTTGTGTTGGTGCTAGGTGTTCGTGGCCGGAGGGTAGGGCTTTAGTCTAGTATTTAAGTTGTTGAGTGTGCTTAGGTTTGTATTTTTTTGTTTTTGTGTTGGTGTTTCTTTTCTCCCATGTGGGAGTTCCCTTTCTCCACTTGTAGGAGTTTTTTTTTCTAGTGTTGTTAGTTTGTTTAAGCTTCTAAACTACAGTCGTCTCGACTCGTAGGCCTCTTTGTTCAACCTTTGGTTCTTTCTTTCGGTCATTTGGCCACTTGTAATTTTCGTGTTTTATTAATATATTCTCTTTTGGAAAAAAAATAAAAAAAAATTGAATGGACCAATTCTTGAGACATCCTAAACTGTGCTTTGTGCAATTTCCCAAAAGAAAAGGACGAAGCATTCTACACCACCAGCTCGTCTCCCGAACTTACGTGTACTGCTCAATCACCACTTGACAAAATCTTTACAATCAATACACACAACTTTCTTCATCTCTTCCCTATTTTCCCCTCATCACTCCTGGAAGGAAGGAAACTCGGTCTGTAGAGGAATAATTATGGGTCCGATGGTGTTGACTCAGTTGGCCACGGGTCTGAGCGTCTTAGCCGGGGCAGCTCTTGTCAAACAAGTTATGGATCACAATAGTATGATGGGCCCGGGCCCGGGCCGGGCTCCGAGATGCCCCAGCTGTAACGGGACTGGGCGCGTCACCTGCGCGTGCACCCGTTGGTCGGACGGGGATTACGGCTGCCGGACCTGTGCCTGGTCGGGCCGCACGGCCTGCAGCAGCTGTGGTGGATCCGGAACGGGCCGCCCGATTCCTGTTCAGATTACACTTCCCCCTTCCAACCGGCCTTCATAAACAAATTATTCGGGTATTGAAGTATATATGTAATGTATATTTGAGAGAGTGACGAAAATATGAATTGCGATTACATAACACTGTTGATTTTTTATTGAACAACATATACTTATGCTGATAAAATCCTTTGTGCTTTTTCGTAGTAGTTTTGAGCTTTTTTTAGAAAATTGGTTGATCTATTTGTTCTGATGTGTTTGTCTGGGCATTATTTGGCATGTATTCTATGTTTTGGCTAACTATGTTAGATGCTATGTTCCAAAATTCCAAATGGCTTTATGTGTGTGCTACTTTAGAAATGAAAATTGTCAAAAGTGAAGTCGATGAATGTTGAATAATTTCATCTTAAATTGAACCTCTGAAGGAACACTCACTTATAAACTGTGTTGTTGTTGAGTTTATACTTTATATGAAACAGTTTACATGCCTCCAAATAGCCAATTCACTAGCCAACTAAAGATGAAGTCGGAATTTGTAAGTCATGTTTACATTGGTCTTTGTTTAGTGAATGCTGAATTAGCACTTGTACTGAACTTCTCTCTTGTAGAATAGGTTTTCTATTGTCGTCTGCCCATCAGTCTGAATAGCTCTCGTTTTCCTTGTCTCATTTGCTATATGTCTTTCTTGTGAATCTCTGAACCTCTGTGTTTTGAGGGTGTTTTCCTCACAGTAAAGAGTGTTGTACTTCTCAAAATTGAGAGCCTCTTAAATTCTCAGGGCTAACTGAATATGATAGAGTGGAAGGTAAGAAATTGAAGATAAACAAAGAAACTAAAAGGGACAAGACAAAAACAGAACAAGAATGTATGGGGTACTCTGGTAGAAACTTCCTGCGATTTGTTAAAACAAAATCCAATATATTCTCCATGAAATAAGAAGACACTTCAATAGTATAATAACCTCAAGTCCCACACTAATTAATGACATAAACTTGGGAGGGCTGGGCTATTAATTAACTATAATAAGAGAACTGCCGATGATGCCGGACAGAATTAGCTTAAAATCCCAAACATGATAGAATTTGCTTTGATTTAACTTTTGAAGACAATTTATATGATGCCTGACAGAATTAGCTTAAAATCCCAAACATGACAGAATTTGCTTTGATTTTAACATTTAAAGGCATAATTTGTATTAGTCTCATCATGTATGCCTAACTGTTTTGCCACTTCACTCGAACCCATATTTATCGATGGTGAAATTTAGGCTAAGGTTGAGCCTGAAGCAATAGACTGAGCCAGAGACATCCACATTTGAAATACAAAGCTTATTTTATATTACAATACCTCAGTTTTTNTTCACAAACGATAGAAAATCTCATTAAATTACAAAGCAATAGTACAAACCGGAAAGCTCACTAGTTCATACAACCAAAAATATAGGAGAACCACTGACGTGGCCTATGAACGCTAACCCAAACAAACTACTAAAGGCAAATACAAAGATTAAGACCCTTTAGTACAACATTCTAACACTAGAAACAACTGGCCCGACAAAGGTAAAAAAGCACAAACAAGAGGTCACTGAACATAAGAACCTAGCCCCTAAATGACAAGTCAAATTAACTAAAGCAAATCAACCGAAATTCAGACCATTCACTTAGAACAGAATTAACAATAACATTCTCCGACACCCAAACCTTTTTAAAAATCCAAAGATTGACATCCTCGTTAACATTGATATCCTAAAATATCTAATTATTAATTAAAAGTTCCACTTCAAATTCAAAATTGACAAATGGATAAGTCACAACAGAAATATTATCCACCCTCAGAGAAGATTCATCATCTTTTCGTTCAAATTCAATTTTGGAAGGAGAAATTTTGATATGGATGTACCCTGACTTATTTTTTATAGGTTAACACACTTGAAATTGACATAAGATGAGACATCTTTCCCTGTAACATGTCTCTAAGGTACATCATCATCCTCGATAATTGGCGCATGTCCAAGACTAAGACCACCTCCAGTGCTGCTCCAGATGAGGCGTTTTGCGTTGGAGTGGCGATAGATTCTCCTCCAATGTCGCGTCAGATTTAGATGAACGAGATGAATAGTGTTGCGCCATATGTGACGCAACACTGTAGCTTATCGCTACAACTTTTTTTTGTTTTTTTTATTTTGGTTTTTTTTTTTTGTGTATTATTATTAGTAAATTTTTGTATAATGTGTATTAGTAAATGTATTTTTTATGCTAAATAATTTGTACAATGTATTTTTTATGCTAAATAATTTTGTATTTTTTATTTATTGATTTATTATAATTTTATTTTGTAATTTTTTAATATTAAAATGATACCATATGAATAAAAATTTAACACATTTAAACAAGTTTATTTCATTAAAATTAAAAGTTTACAATACACATAAATCATAGAACACAAATAAAAACAACATGTATGACTTAAAATACACAAATAAAAACAACATGATTAAAGATGACATAAAAATCAAAGGAACACATGAATAATTCTAGTAGTCTCCCAAACCACTTCCAGACCCGCCAAGATCTTGAAAAAACTCACTGAAAGAACCAAAAGCGTTACTGGCTTGTGATGACTGCGATCATTCTCTTTTTCTCTTAATTCGTTCTTGCTCATTTGTAAAATATTCACGACGACGGTTATCTTGTATGGACTCCAAATCCATCATTATAATTTTATTTTCCTCTGTCCATGTGGTAGTCTCAACAAATTATTTTCTTAATTAATTTTTTTGCTTTTGGACTTCAATTTTTTGTCTCAGCATCTCACTGTCGTGATCCCTCTTCATTGATGACTTCATCATCATCATCTCTAAATATTTCATTTTCCTCTTTCATTGTTTTTATAATTGCAGATACGTCTTCTCCCTGTTTTCTCTTAAATTTTGACTTTTTAATGCCTAATGGTCGTTGTGATGATGAACCACTACTAGCATTTTCATCGCTTAAATTAATAGATAAATTAGATAGTTTTGGATTTGGTGAAATGGGAGACTCGGGTTGTGCATCTGATTGCAGTTGAGTGAAAACGTGTTTCGCCTGGTTGATGTGCACTCAAACAATGTAAAATCTTTCATAATATTCCGCAATGCTCATACTTGAATGGTTTATTACTTTTATTTTTTCGGTTTTGCGAATAAAGTACACTTGCACGCTCCATCTACAATGTAAAAATAAATAGCATAAAAAAATATTAAAGTTTTTTTTATAAATATAAATAAATAATGCTTATAAAATTTCTTACCACATCATGTTCAGAAGCTCCACTGATTTTTGCATTTTCAATTTGCTCCACACAAGATTTGAGAAGTTTAATACCAGTATTGATAGTTCCCATGTGACATTGGATTGATCTTTGTGGACGATCAAACCACATTGGATTGGGTTTTGTAGAATTATACTCGTTTGTCACATGAAGTCATAATTGATCTCTACTTTGATATATGCCCACCTCTGGATCTTGAGAAATTTCCATATAAGACCGACATAGGTGTTGATCTTCATTCACAGTATAGTTGGAACCTATAGGAGAAATTACTAAAAGAAAATGGAATTAAAACGTAAATTATAAAATGCTGAAGTTATGTTTTGGTGGTACAAAATTTTGCCTCACCATCTAGTGTATTTATAGTATATTTCATTTCCATTAATAAAAATCGTACGGTTGACATTCGTGATAGGAAATCTAATTTAACGGCTAAGATTGAAAGTTGTAGATTTTCTTATCTACATACCAACAGTAGGATTCTTATCTATGATTTAACAGCTAAGATTGAAAGTTGTGGATAGCCTTATCTAAATATCAACCGTAAGATTCTTATCTAAAAATTTAACGGCTAAGATTAAAAGTTGTAGATTTTCTTATCTACATATCAACCGTAGGATTCTTATATGAAGATTTAACGGCTAAGATTAAAGTTGTAGATTTTTTTATCTATATATCAACCGTAGGATTCTTATCTATGATTTAACGGCTAAGATTGAAAGTTGTAGATTTTCTTATCTACATATCAACCGTAGGATTCTTATCTGAAGATTTAATGGCTAAGATTGAAAGTTGTGGATAGCCTTATCTAAATATCAACCGTAAGATTCTTATATAAAAATTTAACGGCTAAGATTATAAGTTGTAGATTTTCTTATCTACATATAAACCGTAGGATTCTTATCTGAAGATTTAATGGCTAAGATTGAAAGTAGTGGATAGCCTTATATAAATATCAATCGTAAGATTCTTATCTAAAAATTTAATTGCTAAGATTAAAAGTTGTAGATTTTCTTATCTACATATCAACCGTAGGATTCTTATATGAAGATTTAATGGCTCAGATTGAAAGTTGTGGATAGCCTTATCTAAATATCAACCGTAAGATTCCTATCTAAAAATTTAACGGCTAAGATTAAAAGTTGTAGATTTTTCTTATCTACATATCAACCGTAGGATTCTTATCTCAATATTTAACGACTAAGATTAAAAGTTGTGGATAGCCTTATCTAAATATCAACCGTAAGATTCTTATCTAAAAATTTAACGGCTAAGATTATAAGTTGTAGATTTTCTTATCTACATATCAACCGTAGGATTCTTATCTCAAGATTTAATGGCTAAGATTAAAAGTTGTAGATTTTCTTATCTACATATCAACCGTAGGATTCTTATCTATGATTTAATGGCTAAGATTGAAAGTTGTGGATTTCCTTATCTAAATATCAACCGTAAGATTCTTATATGAAGATTTAATGGCTCAGATTGAAAGTTGTAGATTTTCTTATCTACACATCAACCGTAGAATTCTTATCTATGAAAATCAAGATTAAATGGCTAAGATTTAAAGTTGTAGATTTTCTTATCTACACATCAACCGTAGAATTCTTATCTATGAAAATCAAGATTAAATGGCTAAGATTTAAAGTTGTAGATTTCTATATCACTATTTATACAGAGATTTTCACAAAAATTTTTCATTCGTAAACTCTTGCATTTTCCAGAAAAATATAAATCCCAATCACATTGGTACTT